GAGTGTCTGTTCACTGTTGGGTCAGAAGTGTGATTTTCATTTGTCAGTGTCACATCTTTGATGGGACCGGTGGAAACTCCGGAGTGTGCAGTGCCCTTTGCTTCCCTGTGGGCTCCAGACTTTAGGTAGAGTTTGTTTTGCTTGCTTTGCAGAGTGAAAGCTGTTTCCTCCCTCAGGAAGATGATGCTCTCCCTGCTCTCTATGTAGGCGCTTGAGAAAGAGGTCTGCCATCAAAAGTGACCTCCCACAGTGCCTCAGGGTGGCTCAATGATGCAAACACAGGCCTCAAAATGCTCCATAATGGCCTTAACAGTTTGAGACTTGGCTGTTGGAACCTTAAATGTGTTTTCTTAAACAGACGTAGTCCTGGAAATGAATAAAATGAGCTAGGCAAGTTCTGAAACTGACATATGTTCCCACTGTGAAATCAAAACAAGGCTTGACATGCACTCCTCTGGTGCTGCAGATTCTTAATTTTGACTTGCCCTACTTTTTTAGAGGCAGAGGTGCTTCTAATTTAAACCAGTCTTGTCAAGATGATTTCTTTGTGATGGATTTAGGATTTTGTCATGTTATACAAGTGCAGAGTTCATCTGGGTTTTATTTCCTCCCCGCTAAGATCTTTGTGTCCTGATTGGTGGGTCGGGGCCAGCTTGGAGGGATGACTGAGAGCCTGAGGTATTTGTCCTATAGCAGAGAGGCCTCTCCCATTGGTCCCCCCACGGGCTGTGGCCTCCTTTATGGTCCCTCTGGAACACAGCTGGAGGGAGGGAGTTCATTTCTAATGAGAAAGCTGAGACTTCTTTTATCTGTCCAAGAAATAAATTACACTTAACCATTACAGTATATCCCAGCTTCCTTGAAATAATCCATTACAATGTTTTTCTTCCACAATATAAGGACTCTTCTAAATTTCTACACTTATAGTTTAGATAAAATAGGAAAGGTTCCTTTGAAATGTAAAGCTCACTCTTCCAGGACCATAAGTATTAATAACGCATCAAAGCAAATTAGCTTTTTAACTTATATTGACAGAAACCATAAATAATCATCTCATTCCTGAGACAAAACTATTCCACAAACTCGACTTTCTTGACCACCAACAGGGCTGCTATCACTTCCTGTTCTAATCATGCAGAGCTTTGAATTGGCTGCTGTCCAAAGAAACCAACTAGGTCAGTCAGTCTCCTCCAGTTAAAGGTGGTGAGAGGCAAAAGCCAAAATGTTTGCAAAGCTGTCGAGGCTTACACAATGAGAACTGTCTCATTTTTATGCATGTATGTAATGTAGTAAGCTAAAAGCGCCAATAACGTAAAAAATGTTGTGTACTGTATATTTCTGTTCAGGCTCGACCCAAAGGTGAAGGCTTGACCCCGTATCAGGGAAAGAAGAGGTGCTTTGGTGAATATAAATGCCCTAAATGCAAGAGGAAATGGATGAGTGGGAACTCCTGGGCCAACATGGGACAAGAATGTATCAAGTGCCACATAAACGTTTACCCTCATAAGCAGGTAATGGCACATCTGAACTACAGTTGAGCTACCAGGGGGCCCCCAGATGAAGTCTTACATACAGACTCAAAACATTTTGAACTGGCCCTCCTCACTGTTTTGAGTTAACCTACACAATACTCACAGGAAAACACTGCTTCCATGCACACAACATAGCAGTAAACTAAAGTAAACTGCTTTGTGGCCGCACATTGTTACAGTACATATCCTTGTAGTTTGACCCTAGAGGCCAAGAGCTGCTTTTTGTTTTCTCCCATGGCCCAGAACTAACCAGTTTAAGTGTGGAAATTAAATTATGTGTAACTCTAGAACAGGAATACTGTTGCAGGTAAAATATTTTTATCTGCAAAAATACCTAAACATGCATTTAAATATACTTTGATATATATATACTTATAATTTGATTTTATCTCTAGATTGAAACATTCAACCAAAAGGTTAATTCTGAAATGTCTTGCCGTTTATCAGTTACATCTGCCAAGTTTGACACTCTGTCCAATTGTGTTTATTTGTTATTTGTTATTTAGATCGCTAGTTATCTCAAAAACATGTGACCTGATGTCAGTGGAGCCAAAAGCGGTTAGTTTTTGGAGCAAATAGTGCCACCATGTGTCCACTTAGAAAGGACCATGTAAAGGCATTTTCATGTAAATTCCAACCAATCTTCACCAAATTGTATACAACTACATTTTTTGATATCACGTACCATTTTCCTATTATTGGTTGCCAAATTCTTGTAGGCGGGGCCTATTTGACATAAACTCCCTAACTCCTGGAACACATTCTGCAATCACAGTCAAACTTAGATGACACATGCAAATATCAGCTGTGAGTGATCTATCAAGCATTTTATAGCATTTCATCTAAAGGTGATCCAAAAATCATGGCCACCATAAACCAAACTAAAACTCTATGTTTATGTTGGTGCAGCTCTGGGTCCTGATAATTAATGAGATACATCAAAACTGACAGTATTTGCCAAATGTGAATTAAAATTAAATGAAAATTTAGAGGATTGTGCAGTGTTGATACGCACTCGGAATTTTTTCTAGTGTGTTGCACATCTGTGACCATGATATTAAGAACAAGCCCAAACCCCTCCAGTAGAAATATATTGAGTTCTATTTACTTTGTGTGTAGACCCATTTTGAAAATAGAGTACAACAAATAGAAGAGTCTGTCTTAAAATAAAACATCATGTATAATGTGTGTATAGTTGTATAATGTAAACTCCTCCACCATGGTATCTGAGACACAGTAAAGTTATACTCTGTTTCTTTGTTCCAGAGACCCCTTGAGAAACCGGATGGGTTAGATGTGTCGGACCAGAGCAAAGAACATCCGCAACACTTGTGTGAAAAGTGCAAAGTCCTCGGCTACTACTGCCGCCGCGTGCAATAACACACTCTACTCGCCTCTCCAAAGTTTTATCAAAAAGGGACGGTTATATTTTAATTACTAAACAATACACCATAATTAACTTTATTGTACTGCAATGCATCTAATGGTGTATTCTCATGAAATATTCCCTCTGACACTGTGACTCTCACTATAAGAGGCTCATTTTTCTCTCTCAGTGGAGACAAGTACTTTGCATTTACTCAGTTATGTGAATATTCATTTGAAGTCTTAACTATGAACCTTAAGAATCTTACCAACTGTGAATTAAGAAACTTTAGCTCTGTGTCTGTCTTCACTCGGGTCCGACAAAATTCACGAGTGAAGTTTCCAGATGAAGATTCTCTTTTACATGTTTGTATATTCCAGAAATAACTTAAATGAAATTATTTTTTCTGTATAAAATATGCAACAAGTCTTTACTAAGAAGGATATGCAGTATTAATGTATATCTGCATTTTATCTGTATTATCTGTACTGGAGGGTACATAATTTTTGAATATATTTTTAATTTGATTATTACACTTTGTGAAGGAATATATTAGCCAACTAACATTTATTCTTTATATGATGTGTGCCTGTATTTCTGAAGACACATTTTAGTTTGTCATTCAAAAGTTTTACAAAACTGTAAACCAATGCAATATGGCAGAAACATTTTCACTACCTGAAAAAAAAGACTAAATGACAGCAGTTATATTTTGGCACACAGTTCTATGAAAGACTCACCAAAGTGCTTTTTTATGGGTCATAGGTCGTAATGTCTCACATGTAACACGAGACAAAAAGGAATAAAACTCTGAATATACCAAAGATCATGAAGGATTAAGTGGAGGGTTGCATGTGCATGTTCCTTATAGGCTTTTTGTATTTCAATGAAATTGTGATAAATTAATATGAAACAGGAAAACCCTGACTTAAAACTGTTTAAGATGTGTGAAATGCCATTTAATGTGCCTTAGTTTAAAAGACCTGTGAGACTGATCCCTTGATCTCTTAAAATGGTTTTGTATTCAAATGTATTTGAACATGTTATTGAGGGTTTTGCCGCTGTTCTGCAGAATTTCTTTTTGTCCCTAGTAACAATATGAGCACATAAGATCACGGGGCTGGGAAAGTCCCCACAGGGCTGTATGGTGATAGAATCTCTCTTCAACATTAACAGATCCAGATGTTACACATTTGTATCTCCCCACAAAATATAACAGAATTCCAGCCTCTCTTAATATTTTTTTAAGCATCTGGTAAAATGTACTTATGGCACAGGAAAATCAGATTTGGCTTCATCACCCCTCTCACTGCTGGCAGAACCTATAATATGCTGTGAGACAAAACAATACATGCAGCAAAATCCAAGCTGACCCCAAGAAAGAAACATTTCCCTGCTTATTATAGATATTATACATACTTAATGGAATAAGATCATTAGTCAACTGAGGCTGACAACAGGAGGCGGAAGGAAGAAAGACGCGACACTGATCTCATTCCACAGCTGGTGATAAAAAATTCCCTTTCTCCCAATAAACCACTCTAAAAACACCTTTTTCAGCTGTTGAAGTGCAAATTTTTTTCTTAAAGTGCCTATAATCATATTTTAATACTAACAAATCTAACACGGGGTTGCTCTTAGGGAGAATTTCACCTGAAGCTGCAGCCCCCCTTAGCTGCTCACTGTTTTGGTTTGCTCTCACCTCTCTCATGTCATTTTCAGCTGCAACAGGCAGCTGCTTTCAGTGAAAAAGATCCACTGTTCACTACCTAGTCAGCACCAAACACCAGACGGACACACTTCACAATTTAGCAGGTTAAGAGCTGCAGGAGATGTTAAGAGACTAAAACCAGAGCTAAAAGGAGTACTTTCATTTCATGGGGCATATGATAGTGATAATGGTGCTTCATAGCTGCTAGATGTGTAATTAAGCAAATTTGCCATCTCAACTTTAAAGCTGATATGTCAAAGTTCACAATTTGTTTCCGCTGCCCAAAGCAAAAACTGGTCCAAAACAAAATTCACATATTACAGGTTTAAAGTACTTTTGTAATACTTTTCCTTTAATATCTAAATGTGTGCATAAAAACAGACAGCAAAAACAAACTTTATTTTAGTTTATTTTTTTACAAATAAATGCATCTTTTCCAAACTAATTTCAATGCATCTTAATGAATGAATAGCTCAGCTTCAAATACATAAGAAATCGTTACCCATCCACCCTATGATACAAGTTCACATTTTATGGCATGGCACAGTTGAGTGCATTAGTTGCTACCAGACTAAAGACTAACAAAGATTTCAAGTACCAATAGAAAAGAGTTTGACTCTGCAATAATCAATTGTCAGAACAACACATAGCAATCTGCGCCATGAATGAAGAATGAGCCTCTTTCAGTCAGATTCTCACTTTGAAATTACAGCAGGAGATGAGACTACGACCGTGACCACTGCTCACATGGAGTCTACTTGAGCTCTCCACAGTCTGTGATAGTGATCCTCTTGGAGGTTCGCCCAGACCGTGAACCGAAAGACTCCACTTTCTTGACCACGTCTAGTCCCTCCTTCACGCTGCCAAAGACAACATGCCTGCCATCCAGCCTACACGAACAAAGAAGGGGTTTATTATCGCTGTCCCTGAAAGTGAGACAATCCATGATGCACCCAACTGGGTTTGATGTGAGGCTTTATGTTGGGTGATGCCACTAGTTCTGCCACGATTGTGCTATCTTAGGCAATCATTCACATTTTTTTTTGCTATCATGCCAAAACATTAAAAGAATTCATTGCTTCCACCAAGAATTTTATTCCCAGCAGGGTAGAAAATTTTAACAATAACTGAACACTACTAAAAAAAAAAAAAAAAGTATTAAAAAGGCTACAATAACAAACGCCTTCCAAATGTAGCAGAGGTTTAAGTTTGGACGGTTTACAAAAGCTATTCAACTGGATGGAATCTCTGGGACAGATTACTATTTTAAAGTGTGTTTATCTGTGTGTAAAATACAGTTTTTGGGTAACTACTTGCTGATGCCTGGACTATAAAGATTCAGCTGCCGAATTCTGAGTGTTTTATGTTTGGATCCTGTGTAAATTGCTGCATCCTGCACTAGGATTGCAATATGCAAAAAGGCAACGATACTCAACCTAAAATATCTAAAATGGTCCCAGAGTAGCTCCTTTCCTTTTCTATGTTGTGTGGGAGTAATTATCTCATTACAATTCAGAAAGCTTTAGGTTAAGTATTAATGTGTCTGTTCTTGTTCAGTCTTGCTCACTGCACATTTGTCTCTTCACTTTTCCAGACAGCATACAATCTGAGCTCTGTGCACATGTCTTCACAAGCCAGCAAGTAATACACTTTAAATAAGGCCAATAATGGTGAAATGTAACAGAATGACTACAGTGACATCCACCCTTATAATGTTGTGCTTGTCAACACATACCATTCTGTTTTAGTGGTGCAAATGAAGAACTGGGAGCCGTTGGTGTTGGGTCCAGCATTGGCCATGGACAAGATACCTACAATGCAGGAAAAAAGGTTTCTATTATTTTTAATATTTAACTTAAAGTAACAAAATATGCCTGCAGAGCTACAAAGGAACTTTTGACGTGGCGCTGGCGTAAATATCACAATTAATGATGGCTGAATTTAGCTGCTTCAGTTTTAGGTTACTGGTATTGTGTATGCTAGTTCACTGACACCTTACTGAGACACTTATATATTACTAAGTCATTGCTATTAGTAACACATGTGCTTTTCCCATTAAAACAAGTCAAATGTCTGCTGTGAAAAAGGCCAATTGAAAGAAACATATTGTATCCATCATCTAAAACTTCAGAGTTCCTTTACAACAGCTAGTTCAAACATTGCATGATGCTGCCACCCAGTGGTGGAAATGAATAAGGCGATCTATGGTACAATAAAGAACAGTATGCATTGTGTTTATTTCCATTAAATTAAAATTTGCGTTACCATCTTGCAAAGTTATAACAGAGCACCCACAGCATCCATGACTTTTATTATTCTCAGTATTTAAAGCTGGGGTAGGCAATTTGTTTCAGAAGCATTTTTCGTTATATTTGTTGAAATTCTCTCTACATCCTGAGACCAACCAATAATGCCCTGACACCAAAATGAAAAAGCTCCAGTATCTGTGGCTGTTGCAGGACTGTAATAAGCAAATAGACAGGCAGGCCTACCTGTGTGCTCTTTGCCCTAGATGTATTTTGGGAGAGTGGCTTGAAATGAGGGTGTGAGCTTAGCCTAATTTCTTTGCTGTAGAGAGGACTTGCTAAAAAACACCAGCTTATCTGTCTGCCACGCCTACTGCAGTTTCTCAACTGCTTTATAATGCGTTTGCATTGTCCTGTGTAAGATAAGATATTACTTTATTAAACCCCCGTAGAGGAAATTTAGGTCAACATAGCAGCACAAGAAATATAAAAGAACAGATGCATTATTGTATTTGTGAAACACTGCCCTGTGTATCCTACTGTGCTGTTAAATCTCATATTACTCTTAGTAGTGATGTATTGTATGTAACTCCGCTGATGGATGGCTGGAATACAAACTGACTCGCTCTAATCATGATCTGCTTGTAATATTTCTTGAAATTCCCTGATATCCAAAGAAAATGAATCAAATTAGCTGACCCGTCTGGAATACACCTCTGAAAACTGCCATTCCTCAAAATGAAGCCGTGGAAGCCATTTAATTAACAAACCAGACAGCTTTCTCCTTCATTCGCAGGAGTGTACAAACAGAATGGGATGATTACCAGGTCCAGTGTGCTTCAGCTTGAAGTTCTCATCAGCAAACTTCAATCCATAGATAGACTTCCCTCCAGTCCCATTGTGGTTAGTGAAATCCCCACCCTGAAAACACTTAACACTGTAATTACAATGCAACAGCATGCCTGACAACAAAAGGACACAAAAAAGGAAAAAGAGGAAAGCTTACCTGGCACATGAACTGAGGGATCACCCTGTGGAAAACTGATCCCTTGTAACCAAAGCCATGTTCCCCTGTGCACAGCGCTCTGAAGTTCTCTACGAGAAAGATTTAGTGTCAGATTCCACTAGAGGTCAGGGGATGTCCTTAAATATGATGCTGGAGCACCAGGGCATTGTTTGTTATTTGGATATAGTTGGTTTTCACTGAACTGGAAGGGTGTGGAGAAAATTATGACGTGAAATGTAAAATTTGTACAACAAACGTAGTGCAGTTGAAGTATGGAGTTATATAAAATGGAAATAACGTTACTCCAGCACACGAAGTAAAGTTATCTCGGGTTTGTACAGTACTTAAATTCCTCTGCTGGATATGAAATGACATTATATGAAACAATCATAAGTTACCTGCAGTTTTTGGTACAATGTCGGCGTTGAGCTGCAACAGAAGAATGAAAAGCCTCAGGGTGACTTAGTGAACAAGATGTTTTCCGGAAAACCGAGACTCAACGACTGTCAGTTAACGTTAAAACTTACGGAAAGGACCCGGGACGAAGTGTGTTAACGTCGCATCTGTTGTTTTATTACTCATTCAAAAGAAAACAGTGACAAACAGAAAGTACAAGCCATATACCGGTAGATTATGTTTTATATCTCCTCACCTCAAAGGTTACCCTGCCGAGAGGCTGGTTGTCTGCAGCAATGTCAAAGTAAACCGTGGGGTTGTTGTTAGCAGCTGCGGGGCCGCTGCTGCACAAACGCGCGGCGGTAAACGCCAGAGAACACACTTTTATCCTGTTTGAAAAAAGCAACATTTTCCAAAGTAATGCGGCTCAGTTTATTCCCTCGGACCAGCTGTCGGCAAATGTCAGGCGTACATGTGAGAGACGAGGAAGTTTTTCTTGCCTAACCGGAAGTACAGTCCGAGCGGTAAGGATTAAAATCTCGCGAGCCTAAACGTGATTTCAAGCAATAATCCATTATTACCTTTTATATGTCTATGAGGGTTACACATAATTTGTCACTAGTACATACTTCTGTATAAAGGTTGAACCTATTTCAAAAATATATGTCATCAAAATATAAGTATCACATACCTAAAGACGTATATTTCTTTCCCTATTAATATACACACACGCATATAGTTTTATCTATTCATTTTATTTAAATTTACTTACTGTTGTTTTTATTTACTTTTTTAAATATTTATTTTTACGGAATTTTTATTTTATATATTTTTTTATTATTATTATTATTTTATTTTGTGTTAACACACGCAATCACAACTTTTGCTGTTTTATTTTCTTATCTAATGAAATGTATGAAATTAATTGTACTTATGTACATTTGCCATTTGGGTGATTTCTGTTATCATTATTATTTAAAAAGGAGCCAAACAAATGTCTTCATATGATCACTATTGTTAAATCAAAGATTTAGCATGATGAGTCATATTTTCAAAATCAATGCCAAAATTTCTGCCAGGGTATGCAAACTTAGGAGCACAATCAGAATCAGAATCAGAAGGAGCTTTATTGCCAAGTAGTGTTTTACACATACGAGGAATTTGCTGTAGTGATAAGGTGCTACACGTAGACAAACATACAGTCGACATAAATAAATGTAGAAATATATATATATATATATATATATATATATATATATATATATATATAATAAAACTGTAGGTGCTTGCCTAACATTCTAATCTAGTCTTTAAACTAATGGTTGGATGGATTTGTACACTGTGGGCTTGGGTGAACATTCTGACATAAATATAAAAATAAGTGTAAGTGTCTCAGTTCAACTAAAATATTGTGATACTATGAAAAGCACTTTTATTATTATTTTTTGCGTTGGTGATGCTGGTGTCACTACCCATGCTAGCGTGGCTCCACTGAGTCCTATTATATTCTGAATATAGTGATTATACTAATTTCTGCTCCATCCATTTCTGCAGAAGAGGAATTTTTCTCACCGCTTTGCTTTTTCATTTCTACTTTTATTTTCTCATTTCCTTCTTGATAGATTGCATAATAATTGCTCAGTGTCGTTCCTATGAGCAGATGTACGAATCTTGTCTCCATTATTTTGTTGTGTTAATATGGGCTCACATCATTTCCACATATTAATCAAAATGTGAGTCAAATCTGATACCCATAATTTACACCGTCTGCTTGGATAAACAGCTTGGATTAGCAGGCCTAATTGTCAGACTACGATGCAAACACACAAAAGACAAGACCACAGTGACATACAGGTATCATCTGAATACATATTTATTAGATAAATATTAGGTTGTCACATCGTCTAACTACATACAGTTCTGCAAGACTAAAAATCACAATTAGTTCCTTTATTTTCTGACCAGTTTAGAATATGAAATGATTGTACATACAATGTACACAATAGAGACAATGGCCACATTGCATGAATCACCTTAGATTGTATCATTTTTCCAACTGCTCATGATATCAAAAATTGTACAAACTACGGATTCGGTTACAATCTTCTGGACCCGTCCCGCCAATCAACTTTCTCCCACCCCTCCAAACGATTTTCTTTGTAACCTTGTTTTTTTTTCCTCTTCTTCCTTTTTTAGCTTTAGCACCTCCAAGTGTGCAGGTGACAGACTAGAACACTTAAGCTAAATATTACATGTAAAACATAGCTGTCCCAGTTCCCCGAACAAAAAGAGGTGAAATTATATTACAGAAGGGGAACAAAATGCTGAGAGATACCCACAGACACTAACTAACAAGTTTCATTTTCCATATTCAGCCACTTCCAGTAGAGGGGTTGCAAGCTTTTTATTATTCTGAAGAAACAATGCACATTCCCAGGGAAAATGAATACATTTCTGTTCACGTCTCTATATTCATTTACATATATACAGGCATCCTTGGGACGTTTGATCTAGCCTTGCCCTCAACATCCTTTCCAGGCCAGAATGATGAACGTGCCCTTCCTCTCTGTATGTTTTTTGAATTTTTAAAATTTTAAATAAACAACCTCCCCCAGAGAAATGGCCATTTATTGTGATTGTGCAACTACAGATTTGAGGTGCTACCTTATACACCACAGTTGCTCACTTGAAAGTGAGAACAAAATATGAAATAATAACGACTTCCATGGGATTGATCAAAAGTTTCAATTCAGATAGTATAAATAAAAAATGTGGCAGTGTGTCTTTAAAAAAAAGGAATTATTTGATTAGATGTCTCTTTGTGACATAAATATGAAACAACATGTCAGTGTGCCGAACTGGAACAAATAATATTTCTTGAAAATAATGTTTACATAAAACCAGGGCGGTTAAATCAGCACAATGCTACGGTTGAAAGAAATTGGATTTCTAGCCTTACAGATTAATAAGAAAACCAGTACAAAATAATTTACCAAAACAAAACGGGATAAAAATGTATATGGTCTCGTGCTTTTAAAAAAGCCACATTTTCTATAACAAAAATATAAACAATATTATGGATTTCTTTAAAATATGGTTGTGATATATCTTTAAAATACCACTGTGTATTGACAATTAGCAACAATTATGATATTCACATAGCCCACTAATTACACTCAAAGCCAGCGGATACCACATCTTTTAAAACCGTTACTGTTCAGTATCACTGATAAAATGTTAACGCAAATTCATTAATAGACAACATTGATCATTTTCAGTCAAATACATCTGAGCGTGAAAGAAAACTGAGCTTGACATCTGGAAACTGAAATTATGCAATCACCTTGAGCTGATACATGGAAGGGGGGAGGGCGCACATAAAAATGGGACACCTGTCTACAAATGACAGGTGTGAGACAGAGTGCACTGGGAGGAAAGTGACTAGAAAGCACAATGACCTGCAGGAAATAGCTTATGAGACATTTGGACTGACTTCCCCACATTGGGAAGGCGAGACAGGTGTCGTATGCTGGTTACAAACAAAGTCAGTGGTTAGATGGGAGTTTGGGAGCATATGTGGTTAGGTTGGACGACTAATGATCAACGGACAAACATTATCAAGATGATACAAAAATATTCACAATGATATTTACAGTAAAATAGCATTTCTTAAAAAATAATACATTTGCATACTGAACAGCACTCTTCTCAAAAAGTGAAATGGAAAACAAATGTGGCAAAAGGTCTGCACCAATACTGCTTTAAGAAACCACTTCTTGGACAGCAGTGATGGATAAACTGTATTTGTCCTCCCCTATATCTTTGAAATCAATATTACCTCCTATCACACTAATAGAAACGCACACACACCCCTACACACACACACACACTCACAGTCACACAGGACCAAGCAAACACAAATGTCTCCGTTCTCATCCCTCTAACTTTGGTGATGCTGAGCAGTTTCTCAAATGTATGGATAGTTTAATTATGCAGCAATATAAACAAGGAAAGAAACAAACATAACACAGTATATCCAGCAAATACATGACAAATGTATCGCTGACATCAGCATTATCCCTTCAAAGTTAGTGTTAAATAAATCATACTAAATCTGACAGAAATCAAAAACAAACATACAAAGAAAAGAGCTGTTGAAAACAGCAACTGATAAAAACCACACTATCTTTTTTTTCTTTTTATCACTTGGAACAGCACTAGACAAGGGCTTGGCACACATGCACTTTGTAGACTACTTAAACAGCACATCATTTAACAGGTAGAGAGATGCAACGTTGCACAGATTCTGACACGAGTGACACCGGGGGCTCATGCGGAGCAGACGGCATGGAAGGAGCTACAGCAGGAAGCAATAAACGCAACGGGGTCGTTACAGGAACTCCAATCTCTCACATTGTACCTTTCGTTTCCATTAAAATCACTCCTCTATATGGGAGGATCATTTTTCTTTTAGTGGGGCCAAAATCTTCTCCGTTCCAGCTATCAGCCGTCATAGGACTGAAAAGCAGGGGTATCTCTTTTTGACAAAAATATGTATGTATCAAATTGTGGAAAAAGTGGAAGCTGATCATTCCCAAAAATTGTTTTAAAATGTTGGCAGAAGAGCAAAAAATCTTTTAAAAAACATTTAGACAAGGACAGACATACGCTGATCTAATTGATCATTGTTTTTCTTCCGTAAAGACAGTTTTTGTTTTTTATGCATTGCCAAAATCTCTTTGTGCTTTTAAATGATGTGTGATGGACAAAAACAGTGCGATTAACCAGACCAGTCAGGGAATGGAGCTGTGACACCAGGAAGCTGTGGCTTCTCAGATTGGAATAACAATATGGACATAATGCAGACTGGCCAGATAGCGCAGTTATTTTTTCTCTTTTATACAGTGAGTTCCTTTTTTCTTCTCTGAAGGAAACAAAACACAAATTAAAAAAATGCTACAACACGTTCCTAATGTGCACACATACACCTGTGTGTGGCGTAAAAAAATCAACTGAGTATAGCTGCACAGTTCAAAAGTATCGCCACCGGGTGAGAGGGCGGGGCGACCCCACTGCATCCCGCCATGTCTTTGAGTTTTAAGCTCTTTCAGTCAATCTGCGCTGGCCAATGAAAACTGTACAAGAGGAAGAAGAGAAAGGGAGTGCATCTTTGTGTTTATCAAGTACTGAGTGACTGCCCTGTGTTCTCAGGCAAACTGTAGGCAGAACTTTCAGAAAAGTTTATGTGTGTATCTGAATCGCCTCAGTTGTTTTCGAAGAGCGATAGAAGGTCGTCATTGCTATTGCTGGGGAGGTCTGGTGGATCCAAGTACGACAACAGCTCATCTGGGTTAGCGAGCTCTGGAAGAAGCTGTGAGGGAGAAGGAATGATAAGAAAAAAATGTGGTTGGGCATTCAAATGAACGCAGGTAATTTACGACTGGACTGGACTGAATATTTCCGCTGTATATCACGACTCACGTCTAAAGATGGCTCAGGCATGTCCGACCCTG